TCCTTCCCCAGTGTGGAGTGCTCCCCGTCCTTCCCCAGTGTGGAGTGCTCCCCGTCCTTCCCCAGTGTGGAGTGCTCCCCGTCCTTCCCCAACGCGGAGTTCTCCCTGCCCTTCCCCTGTGCAGAGTGCTCCCTCCCCTGCCACAGTGCAGAGTGCTCCCTGCCCTTCCCCAGTGCAGAGGGCTGTGCCTGTTTTTGTAGTTTTCCTGGCAGGAAACTAATGGGTTGCTGATCTGTTTGCTGCTTTTAAGGTTACATGTAAGTGCCCTGGGGTTGTCTAGAGTAGTCTTTATTCTGCAGCTAAGTTGGCCTTGCATCTGACCTACAGCCCTTCTGCATCCTCCACGGAGTATGTGAAGTCTCTATGAATCATGACGGTGGGCAAACACATGTCACAGAGGAGGAACAATGAGTGCAGATTACATCAATGATGAAATAAAATTTCACTTTCAGATTGAAAATTTTGGTGAAGAGAAGGGGAAATTAATACATGTGTACATTGTTTGTATTTTGTGAACAAATAAAATTTGTCAGTGTTCATAAATATCCCTTCCAAGATTCATCCCCCTTCCCAGACTGTGTTCTGCATAAATACCCAGTGCTCAAATATTTATGAAAATACCAAGTGTAGCATTTTTATAACAAAAATGAAGTAATCAAATTTCCATCAAAAAATGCCTGGCTAGGGGTGCCTGGGTGGCTCGGTCGGTTAAGCCTCTGACTCTCGGTTATGGCTCAGGTCATGATCTCACAGTCTGTGAGATCAAGCCCCATGTTGGGCTCTGTGCTGACAGCATAGAACCTGCTTAGAATTCACTCTCTCTCTCTCTCTGCCCCTCCCCTGCTTGTGCTCTCTCGCTCGCTCGCTCTCTCAAAATAAATAAACATTAAGAAAATTGGGAGATGAATTCTAAGTGACTAAAGTGGTCCGGAGGGGCCAGTTGAAACCGTTTTGATCCTGCTGACTCACAAGCTGCCAGTGCTGTGTAACATTCTGTAGCCGGTTCATTTATCTTTTGGAGTCAGGCAAGCTGAGAATGATAGAAATGCAGATGGCTGGATGGTGGTTGGAAGCATTCCTGTGATTCATATTTTGATAGAATTTGGAAGAAATCTTTTCCCTGTAATACTATCTTCAGAGCTCAAGTACTGTGTTACCATCCGAGGCAGTGTGTGGTCCTCTACAGCCTTCCCACAGCGTGACCGTGCTGCCAGTGGTACATCAGGACCTGGTCACAGAGGGACTCATGTGCCGTGTGGTGACCCTCCAAAAGCAGTGAAACATAACCTTCATGGAGCCTCTGGGAGCTGCCTGTGGCTGGGCCTTGCAGTGGGGAGATGACCCATGGCCTGCAGGCCATTGAGAGGAAACGGGGTGTTCTGGGGGACACGATGCACTTGCCAACCAGCTGAGCTGCCTACACTCACTGAGAAGGGTACCTCTGAAACCTCACATTATGAGACTGGCAACTTCTCTTTAAACAAACAGTATATGAGTATTTCTGCTGAGTGAAAATTAAAAATTATCTGCTAAATGGAGGAATTTAGTTGAGGGGGTCCTCAGCTTTCTCCGGGTTGAGAGAGAGTATCAGATCCATGACAATACAGGAAAGTCGTGCTTTTACCCTGGATCAGGAGTACTCACACCTTGGTTTACACAGGCACCACCCAAGGAGCCTGTTAAAATGCAGACTCTGATTCATTAGGTTTTTTTTTTTTTTTCTTTCAACGTTTTAATTTTATTTTTGGGACAGAGAGAGACAGATCATGAACAGGGGAGGGGCAGAGAGAGAGGGAGACACAGAATCAGAAACAGGCTCCAGGCTCTGAGCCATCAGCCCAGAGCCCGACGCGGGGCTCGAACTCACGGACCGCGAGATCGTGACCTGGCTGAAGTCGGACGCTTAACCGACTGCGCCACCCAGGCGCCCCTGATTCATTAGGTTTTAATGAGTTTTCCAAGTGATTCCTTTTTTAGTAGTAAAAATTAACAGTAAAATTAAAACTATTTTTAATCATGTGAAATTTCAAATGTATACGTGTAACAAGATGCTGACTTCTTGCCACATTTGCTTTATATCTCTGTGTAAGAAAACATCACAGAGCAACTCAAGTTTCCCATTTAATCTCTCTCCCTCCTTGCACCCCAGATGTGACTGCTATTCTGAAGACTGAACATCATTTCATATGTTTTTGCATATATTTATTTTAGTAAACAATACGATGTATTATTTCAATATTTTTATAAATACGGCAATGCTTGCCACCTGTCTGCCGTCACTTTCTACTTGCTTTCCTTACTTGACATTATGCTTTTGCTGTGTGTCTCTGTGGAAAAGGCACATCCAACATGACAGTCCACATGTGATGTGTGTCCACATTAATATGTATGGATTTGGGATGATAATCAATGTGTGATGAATCCATGGCTTGCTAATTTATCTTCCCATGGGCGGGTGGTTAGGTAGTTTCCACTTTTTTGCTCCTGCACAAAGTGATGGAATAAACAACTGTGACCCTGTGTTGTACACACAGGAGTGAAATTGTTGTATAGTAGATATGTGCATCTTCACCTTGAATAGATGTGCAAAGTAAGACAGTCCTGTGGATCACGTGTCATTTAGTTATCACCTATTGTGTTCCAGGTCCTGTTTTCTTGCTGAGGATACAATGGTGAGCACAAACTATAGCCCCTCTCTTAATGAAACCCAGTATGAGAGATATTAATTAAGTAATCAACTGAATGAGTAGCTCTAAGGGAAATGAGAAGGCACTAGGAGGGCAGACGGTGGAGGGAGCTGACTCAGTCTGGTTAGGGGGAAATCAGGGATTTAACATGCAGCTGGGATGTGAAAAGAGCATAAGCTAACCAGGCAAATAGCATTTCGTGCAGGAATAATGTGTCCACAAGACTCAAGGAGGCATGTTGCCTTGGGTCATGAGGTTCTTATCCTATCCTTGGACCAGAGATTCCAGGGCCATCATTAGATGGGAAGGGAGATGTCTTAGGGTTCTCCGGAGAAACAGAACCAGTGGGAGATATACATACTTCTGGGCTTATGATGATTTATACACACACACACACACACACACACACACACATATAATATGCACATACACACATATGTATGACATAGTATAACTAATATATGTGTAATTACATGAACGGCATTATACAATATAGCGTGCAATACACATATACATACATATGGAGGCTCATTATTGAATTGGCTCATGCAGTTATGGAAGTCCTCACTACCAGCCATCTGTAAACTGGGGACCTAGAAGAACTGATGGAATAATTCAGTCCAAGTCTGAAGGCCTGTAGGTTGGGGGGCAACATGTAAGTCCGATTCTGGGTCTGAAAGCCAAAGAAGCAAGTATACTCTTCCTTCCCTTTTTTGTTCCATTCTGGCCGTCACTGGACTGAATGACGCCCATCCCCGCTGGTGAAGACAGTCTTCTTTATCCAGTTTTCCCGTTCAAATGTTCATCTCTTCCAGAGACCCCCTCACAAGCACACCCAGAAATAATGTTTGACCAGCTGTCTGGTGTGCTGCAGCCCAGTCAGGTTGGCACACAAAAGCAACTATCGTAGGAGAGACATCTTCGGTGGTTCAGGACCGAGACCCACGTGGCTAAGCAGAACTCTGGGCAGCTCTACAGGGGCACTTTTAATGGAACTGAGCCAGCTCCCACCTCCTGAAGGTCAGTAAGACATAGGCAGAGACTCTGGGTTGGTGAGAAATCCCAGGGATCTCAGAAGGAACCAATGCATCCGTTGTGTGTTAATGTGTGTCATATTCTGGGAACTGCAAACTTTCAGTAACAGGCGGCTGAAAGCCACATCTCACTAGGATGCCATGGAGAATCCACAGAGGAATATTTCCTCAACAAAGCTGTTTTGAAGGTGTCAGTGGCAACTCACATAGAAAGGGTGTTTATAACAGGTAGGACACATAAGAGTCAGGGGTCAGAGAGCAACAAAGAACGTGAACTTTAGAAACTGCCCATTTACAGATTTTTGGCCATGTGCATCAAGACCTTCCTGAGAGCTGCCTTGATATCCTTGTTCTTCAGGCTGTGGATGAGAGGGTTCAAGGTGGGGCTCACAGTGGAGTAAAGCACAGCCACCACCTTGCCCGTCCCTGGGGAGTGGCTGGAGCCAGGGCTCAAGTAGGTGTAGATGATGGTGAAGTAGTACAAGGTGGCTGCAATGAGATGGGAGGAACAGGTGGAGAGGGCCCGCTGCTTCCCCTCGGCTGTTCGAACCCTCAGGATGGTGGACATGATGAACCCGTAGGACACCATGGTGAGCAGGAAGTTCAACATGGCAAAGAAGACGTCAGCTATAATTGCCATGATGTTGTTCACATATGTGGAGGAGCAGGAGAGCAGCAGCAGAGGAGGGATCCCACAGAAGACGTGGCCAATCACGTTGGGCCCACGGAAGGTCCGCCGTGACATCAGGCAGGCATTGACTCCAGCGCCAAGCATGCCGATGCCCACACAACTCCAGCCCGCGCTGCACACACCCTGGGGGTCATCATGGAGCCGTAGTGCAGTGGTTGACAGATGGCCATGTAGCGGTCATAGGCCATGGCAGTAAAGAGCAGCACCTCCCCTGCCACCACCCACAACCATGCAGGGCCATGCAGCCCCAGTAGGAGATGCTCCTCTTCTCCTCCACCAGGATCCCTTGGGCACCATGGTGCATGTGCAGACAAGATCCAGCACAGACAGGTTGGCCAGGAAGAAGTACATGGGGGTGTGGAGCCTGGAGCTGAGGGTGATGGCCACCACGAGGAGGGAGTTGCCACAGAGTGCCACGGCGTAGAGGCAGAGGAAGAGAATGAAGAGGAGAGCCTGGAACGGCGGCACTTCTGAGAAGCCATGCAGTGGGAATTGTGTCACCAGCATCCGATTACTCATGGGCTTTGGTCTGTCCAGACTCTTTCTGGTCAAGAAGCTTCATATGTCAGACTCTCCCGGAATTTACCAAATTTCTTATTTCATTAGACTCAGGCATCACCAGCTAACAAGCTCCTCTCAGGGAAACGGGTAGGAGCACTTACCCTTCCACCTCCTGCACTCAGGACTACCTCCCCATCCCCCACGTCCCTACACTCAGGACTACCTCCCTGCCCCCCACACCCCTGTGCTCAGGACTACCCACACCCCTACCTGGTGCAGTGGTCTCCCGCAGTGATTGTCTGACCTCACCCTGTCCCTGCTAGAACCCTTCAGGAGCATGATGTACAGCGTCCACAGTGGGCCTTAAAGTGTCCCCATGTCCCATCCTGGCCAGGGAGTGTCCAGCCTCACCCCTGCTCTTCTCCCCTCTCCCTCAAAGTGTCCTATTCTGCTCCCTCTGCCTGGTCCCCCAACCCTCTGCACATCCCCTGATGAGCTGCCCCAGATGGGAGCTTCCACCTAAGTGAACGTCAGACCCCAACATGGAGCCTGGGCTCTGCTTAGGGGACAGGGGCTGCTGCCGGGGGAAGCAGGAGCCCAGGTTCAGGGAAGGGTGGTCTGCAGTCAGGTGGGAGAGTAAGTCACCAATGGGGACAGACACGAGGTCCAGGCTGGTGGGCAGAGTCAAGACCAGAAGAGGAAGGCCGGTGGTGGTTCAGGCAGTCCTGGAAGCAAGGAGGAGGTCCCAGGCTGAGGGGTCCAGGGCAGACACACAAAGAAGGAGCAGATCAAGTGGTTTCCCAGAGCCCAGGTTGCTGATTCTGCCCCAATGACTGCCCAGTCCTGGGAATGATACACCCAAGGCCAGGTCAGGGCAGCATCAACTGATTCTGTAGGGGTGACCTTGTCCGTAGCCCTTGTCCATGCTGATTCCATGCTGGCCCTTTGGAACTTAGCACAACTGCAGATGTATTTCATATTCCTTAATAATATTTGTTGTATGAAAACAGACACAAGAGATATTTCAAGGATGAGCCTGTAAATGACAAGTGCATAAATGTCAGGCTTATGGAGAAGGCTGGGCACTTCAGAAAGACACAGTTGCTCCAGTGGATGGGGTTACACGGTGTCCCGTTAACCGGACCCAGTATCAGGACCACACCCCCCACAAGCATACTTCACACGTGCAGACAAGTAACCCTATTGCAGATCAGATGACAGTATTACCTACTGCTGAGTGGGAGAGTCTCTTTCTTCCATCCCGAGCCCAGACCTGCCTGAACGGAAGGACACTGTGAACCAGTTAAGTCTGTCAGTAAAGCACTTCTTAAAGGGTTTCCTATGACAAACAGGTGACATGTTGTATTGTCACTGTTCTAATGATGACTTTGTCCAGCAAATGTACAAACCTTCCCCAAGTTCACAGGGGAAGTTCACAGTCTTAAGAAAAATATTTCTGCTTAAAATATCAGGTGTGAATGGGTCCCAGCATCCTCATTTTTACAACCCAAGGGATTTTCATGTTGGAAAGACCAGCAAGCATGGGGTAGCCAGTCTATCTTCTGAAGGAAGATACTGCTCCTGCTCTGTGCAGTAATGTGGTATTAATAGGGACATTCTTGGAAGTGTCATTAAATACATCATTCTGGCAACTGGACCTGAAGTCAGACGCTTTCAGGCTTTTCCCATTGCAGAAAAGAGAATAGTGCACAGAATGAGCTCTTTATGATCTGCTGCCCTTGGGTTGGGCTGTGCTGTGAACATGAGGGGCCCAAGAAGAGCAGAGGCTGAAGTCTGAGGGTCAGAGGAGAGCAGTGGGAACATAGAAGCACCGTAGGGCAAACCCTCCACTCTTGTGAAGACGCAGAAAACTCCCACCCTGCTCTCCTTTCCGGCCACGGAAGAACTGACCCTGGACAGTGTGTGGTCAGTTGTTGGTTTATGAAATTGCAACTTATCATAACAACATATTCCCTCAAAAAGCAGAAGCCGGTAACTTTCAAACTCTCCCTAATGTCCAGGACAGACTTGCACACGACCCCCTCCCAGGGCACAGCCAGGGTACGTGACCCAGACAGACAGAAATGGCAGAACTTAAGGGCACTGGGCTCTGGGGGGCAGCAGGCCACCACGGACGTGACCACATGCAAACCCAGGACAGAAGGTGCATCAGCCAGAGGGAGATGGGAGCAACTGGGGGCCTGTCTCACTTTCTTGGGGTCAGGAGAGGTGACAAGTGTGACAGCACCCACCTCAGAGGAGAGCCGTGCTGTCCTCTGCCTTCCTGGCAGGTATTTGGAGGCGTCTGCTGGTGGTCCAGAGAGGACGGGGCACATCTCTGCCCTTGCACCTGCCCTGAGCCGCAG